CAGCGTTGTGCGTGGGGAGGGTGGGCCAGCGGGGCGAGCGTGCCTCGCGCTGCCTTACTCGTCAGAGGGGCTGTGAAAAGGGCAGGGAGCAGCCCGAGGGCGTGTCCGCGGGGGTGTTTCCAAAGCGGGTTCAGGTTTGCCCTTGGTTTCTAGCTGACAGCCGTGTAGAATCTGAATGGCGTTTTAGAAGTATTCTTCCCTCTTTCAGCCTTTCTAGGCTGCAGGTTGTTAAAGAGTGGCTCTTGTTGGTATGGCAGGCCAAAGGAAATCCTTTTGTATGGCAGCCAAATGGAATCCATTTCGGGATTCGATAGATGGGTTATAAGCAGGATGGAGAAGTAGCAAAAGCACAGTTAAGTCATTTGTCTCGTCTCTTGAGTATGCGAAGTGCAGAGTGGTTGTACAGGCTTTAGTTTTAAGGCCAGTATTCATATTTAAAGTATTTGAAATACTAAAATATTCTAGAAGCGGATTTTGTTGAATAAATATTTAATATTGTTTGCATGTTTAATCACTTTACTGCACCGAAAGTATGTAACCTCAACCTTCTTTACAATCATATAGTTAACAGGCAATATATAGGGCGTTTCTCAGGAAGAGACTGTAAAATAAGTTGACGTGATCCTTCTGTTTTCTGATTCATTATTTACAGTATGAATAACTTAGAACATTTCAGAAGCATTCCATAGATTCAGAAATCTTACTCTCAGAAAAAGGAAAGAGGTGTTTAAAAATTGAATGCTATGTAAATGCATGCTTGTACCACAAATAGTGATTGAGGTTGGCACAATACTGGAAAGAAGGTAGGAAGACCAAATGTCTTTCTAGAACTGTATAAATTGAAAGGTCTGATAATATCAAAATAGATTTTGGGTATATAAGTCCCGATTTGGTTTGGTGCTTAAAAATTTGGTTGACATTTGTCAGTAAGCACATTGCTTTGTGGGTCAGTAAATTGGTAATAAAGTAAAAATGTATTTCTCGTGTGCTTTTCAATGGAGCTGAAATAGTACATGATTCTATTTTATTATACAAATTACAGTCATTTAACTTAATATTTTAGTGTTTGATTTCAGATGCTTCATCAGTCAGTATTTAATTTATAAAGACTTCTCTTGTGATTTTAAATTTGATTAATAGGCAGCCTACAACAATTCTAATGTGTGGTACTAGGAGACAGGGAAAACAGGAGTAGGAGTTACAGTTCTCTGAAGAGTTTCATTTGACCTGTTTTTATGCTGTCTTGAGGAGAAGCAGCCCTCCTCTCCTTGTTGTCACTTGTTCCCAACCCTCCTCCATCTGTGCCAACCCTACTTTCTGAGTATCTGTGTAGCAAAATAGATTTCAAAATTAATCTAGTTAGAGACTAGCTTATCAAAAAAAGGAAAATAATTTTATTCAGAAAGATCAATTTGCTTAGCTAGGTTAATGTGCAGTTTCATTAATGTCTTGGCATAAGTAGGACTAAAGAAATACGCAGACGGAGCCTTGTATTAGGGCTGTTACTTAGTAAGAGTATGGGAACTACCCTTTCCACATATGGAGTGGGCAAGGCCGCAGGTGAGATTTATCTCAAAATAAATGGAGCTTGAAATTATAATTTTATTTTTCTGTGTAAGGTTGCTGAAAACCTTTACAAAACATTTTCACTTGAATAAAAATGAAAAGCAGAAATAATGTTAAGGTACTAGTTGATTACTAGCCTTTAGTTTCCTTGTTAGATATTCTAATATATATCTAGAATTACAAAAGAAAATGAGAAAATAGAGCTCTTACTTGGCTCAGGTTATGCATAACTTGGACTTTGCCAGCATGTGTGATCTGGAGCAAATTAGCACAATTTCTTCTGTAATTGTGCTTTTAAATTTGTACAGCAGACAGCAGTGTAGTGCTTGATTATCTCTACTAGCTTTAATGAAGTAGCTTGACTACTGGAGTTCGGTTATAGCTGCCTGGGGCTCCAAGGGAACTAATTTACTCCCAAGATAACATATAAAAATAGATTGGGTGGAGCTCACGGCTGTTGCATCTTGGCAGCTTCTGGTATATTAGGAGGCTCAGTTAAAACTAGTGTCAGTATCGCTTTATTGTACTGCTTTGTGTGATGAATATGCATTCTGAGCTGCAGTGCTGGTAGTTTTCTGTATGCACATAGGCTGCATCCACCTTTTGATAGCTAGATGATCTTTTACACTAAGGTTGCTTCATCCTGTGTTTTCATACCACTCTAGCTTTTAACTCTAAAGATTACTTTGAAGTAACTTCTTTTTGAAAAGCATTACTGTTCATTGAATCAAATGGGGGGCCTCACCACTTTTTTATTTGGTACTTTGCTCACAAATGCTGTACAGAGTTCTGTTGGCTGAGGTACGTACGGTTATATGTATACACCTTAGTGCTTAGTGAGAACTCACGGTCCAGTTCTGCAGTGTTTTAGGCTTTTTAAATTGACTGAGTATACTTAAGAAGTGGAGAAGCTCTTCAGAGTTCAGGTATGCACCTATTCAACATAATAACCATGTTACTGAAACTTATAAAGTGTTTATTTAACACTTTCTGGAGCAATAGTGTTTAAAAAATTGCTATACAGTTTCCAAAAGCTAAACCTAAATTTAGTCTCCAAAATGCATTTAGACTTCTAAAAAGAAAATGGGATTCAAAATCCACAACTGTCTTTGACTGCAGCGTTTCATCAGCATACTCATTATTTTCTTAAGAGTTGTGAATTAACTCAGAAACATAACTTTGGGTATTTGTAAGTACCATCAGATAGTTGGTACAAGTTAAGTACTAAATATTTTGAAAGGCAACATTCAGAGAACTATGAGTGTTTGTAAATGCTTTGGAATGAAAGCTGCAGTGAAATAAAGGCTCTTACATTGTGCAGCATGGTTTCTTGATGTATGGAGCAACACAGAAATTCAGTTTCACTTTTCTTTTTTTTAAAAAACAAAACAAAACAACAAACTGGGTTGTCCTGAAACAGACTTCTATGGAAACCAAATGGAGATTACTGAAATAGGCTGTTATGTGGTTGAAGGTGCATTGTTCAGTAGAAGTATGGAGAATATTTAATCTTTAGTAACTGGAGGTTGCAGAGACATATATAGATAGATACATATGTAGATAACTAGTCTCTCTAACCTTTTTACCTATGAGCTTTCTGGAATTTTTTGCATTTTAAAAAAGGAATAGAAACTAATAAGGTCCTTCCCCCCTGCTGCTCTGAATTTACTGACGTGTGTCCAGCATATCAAGATTGCAGTTAATGGAGATGGTTTCAGTTATTTTCTGATGTGTATTTGCGGAGATTTCTTAAATTTATGAAAGAAATTTACCAGTGTTACAATTATATTTCTACATTTCTTTTATAAGTTGTCAATAAAGCTGATTTAGAAACCCTGGACAATAATAGGACATAAACTGTCAGTATTTAGATAGAATAGTAGTACTTGCAGTATTTGTAAACAGAAGGCAAAAGAGAGTGTACCAAGTGACTTTGAATAGCCAATATAAGCAATATTTTTACCTCTCAAGTAACTATTTTAGTAGTGGGACAGCAAGATTTATTGAAGGTCTTGCTGATGTATGGAAAGTTGCTTACTGATACGTGTGAATTGGTTGAAAAAGCCACTCTCACTGAAAAGAATTTGTTGATATTGTTGAAGTATGTATCTGAAATTATTTGAATGTGTAGATTTAATGAGTTTCTAAATTTACTTATCTAATATTTATTATTAATAATGGAATGCTTGTGTTTTTAGGTAAAATTTGGAAATACAACATTTAAGACAGATGTGTATCCCAAATCACTTAATCCTCAGTGGAATTCTGAGTGGTTCAAATTTGAAGTAAGTATTTTTTAAGAGTTTTCCTGTATCTATATAGACACTCTGGTTTAAATGCCCTTAATGAAGTAATTTCATTTCGGGCAGAAAATTAGTTTTGAGGAGTGAAGTGTAGTTCTGTTTAAATGCACATGAAGCCTTTTCAGCAAACCTATTTGCAGTTAGACCTTGTTTGCTAAAGGTATCTCATTGGCTTATTAGCACTGTTTGTAAAGATAAAGGCTTGCCAGATTGGATCCAACTCAAATGTTATTCTGGGTAATAATAAAAAAGACAAGACAGAGCTAATAGTGGGAGGAAAATAGCATTATGGATTCGGCTTTCAGATATCAGTACAGGTATGCTTGTATTTTTTTTAAAGGGGTAATTTTGGTTGGGGAAAGTTAATTGGGATTTAAAATGTTACTTTGGGTTGCAAAAATAATGCACTTGACAAAGAAGAAAATCAAAGAATCATAGAATGGCCTGGGCTGCAAAGGACCTTAAAGGTAATTTAGTCCCACCCCCCCTGCCATGGGCAGGGACACCCTCCACTAGAGCAGGTTGCTCAAAGCCTCATCCAGCCTGGCCTTGAGCACCTCCAGGGATGGGGCATCCACAACCTCCCTGGGCAACCTGTTCCAGTGTCTCACCACCCTCATAGTGAAAAATTTCTTCCTAATGTCTAGTCTAAATTTACCCTCTTTTAGCTTATACCCATTACTCCTTGTCCTCTCACTGTACTCCCTGATAAAGAGTGCCTCCCCATCTCTCCTGTAGGCCCCCTTCAGGGACTGGAAGGCTGTTATTAAGTCTCCTCTGAGCCTTCTCTTCTCCAGGCTGAACAAGCCCAGTTCTTTCAGCCTGTCCTCACAGGGGAGGTGCTCCAGCCCTCTGATTAATTTTGTGGCTCTCCTCTGGACTTTCATAAATAATAAAATAAAATAAATGGAGAATTTATATGAGAAAATTACAAAATAAAGAGCTTGGACAACAATTATTGGACACTTTCTTTTCCCCTTTTCTTATGTAGTAATGAGGGCACTCAGAATTTTCCTGTAATTGCTTGTTGCTTTCCAGGATCTGATTCGTAGATGCCCTTTGATATTATGCCCCAAACAAGTGTTTATGTATTCTTTTTCTTTAATTACTTAAAAAAAAATTAATGCTATTTAGAATAAAGTAATGGTTAAAATATTTGAATATATACTACCGGTTAATATATAGTGTTCCAAGATAATATTGCAGTATAAACATGGTTGTAAATATATGTACGTCTAATGAGCGATGTAATAGCTGGTAATGTTAGAAATATTTTAGAGCAAATATAAAACAGTCAGGTTAGGCAGATTATTAATCAACACAGAGTGCTTGATTAAGAGCATCTCTTAATCAGCAATCCATGTAGATTAAGAAAGTAGTACTGTGGTGTTGAAATTCAGTCAGTTTTCTTTTTTTATCTTTCAGTTCCTGGGGTTGTTTTTTGGGGTTGTTTTTTTGGGGAGGGGAAAGAGCTGATCTGTGTGGAGGGTTAACTCTGCTCATACAGGAAGAGGGTTTTTTGACAGTAATGGAAGTCTCAAAATTCTATCTTTTTGCATGGAAAAAAAGGATTTGGGAAAGAAAAGAGCCAAACAGCAACACTGAGGAAAAAAAAAAAAAATAAAAGTTCCACATTTCAAAGAGTGGAAAAACACTTAACTGCTTAAGACAGCGTAAGTGTGTGCATGTGTGTGTAGTTTGATCTTTTTGCAAGACTACATGGTATGATTCTGCAAACACTTAAATGAGTTATCCCACTGCATTTAGCAAACCTGATTCTTGGTTTGTGATGTTCAACACAAAAAATTGTAGGATGTCTGTCTTTGTATGTCGAAAAAAATAGTTGAGGTATCTGCAGATGTATTATTGCATTCGTTTAGGAAAGTGCATGTCTGAAATTACTGGATTTTTACAGTGGGTTGTATAAAATGTCTTTTCTTCTTTTAAGCCACTGACCAGTTTGGAAGGGTGAGAGCACCAATAATCATAAATTCAGAGTATAATAGTCCTCTGAGATGCTTTATCTTACATTTTCTTTTATTTTAATGGGAAGTATGCATTGTGGAGATGTGTAGACAATCTAGGACAAATGATGTGGAATTTGAAAATGTGTAGTCACTATAATCATGCTTTTCTGTTCTTATCCCAGTCATAACTGGTTCCAGGATCTCACCAGTCTGTGAATGGTAAAATCTAAATAAGTGAATGTGTTGTTTAGATACAGGAAATCAAAATTACAGATTTATCTGTGTCAGGTCACTGTACATAGCTAACTCTCTTCTTTTTTTGTATGTGTTTTTCATCAGTGTTTCCCTGAGATTTTTTTAAATACTCAAATTCCATGTTAATATTTGTTTTTAGGTAGATGATGAAGAGCTACAAGACGAGCCTCTCCAAATCACAGTTCTTGATCATGATACCTACAGTGCTAATGATGCCATTGGCAAAGTGTACATAGATATTGATCCTTTGCTCTATAGTGAAGCAGCTACAGTTATTTCAGGATGGTTTCCTATTTATGACACCATTCATGGTAAGACTTCCTAATTTGAAAGTAAAAAAAAAATGTTTGAGATGTAATCTGCTTCTTGCAATCTTCATTTCTGTAATCTGTCTTCAGAAATTTGTAATAATTTTAGCCTTGGGAGCTGGAAAACTACTTTTCTGGCACTTTTTTCCTTGTTTCTGGCACAGTAGTTCAGACTAGTGCTTGGCAGAACGCCTTTCATAGAACTTGTGACAAGTGGAAGAAATCTTCACGTGGTATTTAAAATAGTTACTGCAAAGTACAGATTAAAAAAAGACCCAAACATACTTTTCCAATTATATGTGTTTTCTAAAATAATATACTTTTGCTGAAGTCACTTGGGGTGTGCCTTGCTAGGATGTTGAATAAACTTCACTTGAGATCATAGAATGGCCTGGAATGGTTTGGGTTAGAAAGGACCTTAAAGGTAATCTAGTTCCAACCCCCCTGCCATGGGCAGGGACACCCTCCACTAGAGCAGGTTGCTCAAAGCCTCATCCAGCCTGGCCTTGAACACCTCCAGGGATGGGGCATCCACAACCTCCCTGGGCAACCTGTTCCAGTGTCTCACCACCCTCATAGTGAAAAATTTCTTCCTAATGTCTAGTCTAAATCTACCCTCTTTCAGCTTATACCCATTACCCCTTGTCTTCTCCCTACACTCCCTGATAAAGAGTGCCTCCCCATCTCTCCTGTAGGCCCCCTTCAGGGACTGGAAGACTGTTATTAAGTCTCCTCTGAGCCTTCTCTTCTCCAGGCTGAACAAGCCCAGTTCTTTCAGCCTGTCCTCATAGGGGAGGTGCTCCAGCCCTCTGACCAATTTTGTGGCTCTCCTCTGGACTCTCTCCAATGGAGGGACAAGATGTGATGGATGTATCTTCAACATAAAGTACAGGATGAAATTCCTTTTCCGTGTGGGAAGTACTCTCAGTGCTAGGTAGATTTCATCAGAATATCTTGAAGGTGTGAGAAAATGAAGTTAATATTTTTGCTTTTGATTTTTTTTTTTTTGTGTCCCTCAAGGTCAGTTTACAGCAGTTAGCTTGCTTCTTGAATACTTTATTGCAGAATATCTATATGGTTGTCATTACGATCTTTGTTCATTATCCAGTATGAATGAAATAACCTGACTATGTTAAAAAAAAAAGCTGATTATACTTAAATATATTTACTGGATGATCATCATAGCTGATGAAAAGTATTTTTTACATTTAAAACAGTTATATTGAAGAGGTTTTTTTTGAGAAATATTGCATGTATTTTTCTTACTTATCCTTTTATTGTAATCACATTTTCCTGTCATACATTTTCTTTTTGTGGTTAAATTAGGGGAATGCTTGTCTTAGTATGTGTACAACTTGTATGTCAGAGAGAATTAGATTTCTCTATATTTTTCTAGATCTGTTAGTATTTCGTAGCTCTTTTTCTGTTTAAGTAAAATCAGTATTCTTACATTTTCATGCTTATAACAATAGGTTCTAGTTACCTTGACCCTTGACAAACTGTAGTTGATGCTTCCTTGAAAACTAGTCGATATAATGCTTATAAATTTTTATTAAGAATTCTTTTTTGCACCTTAATATGATTATTTGTGAAAATAAATTAACCTGATGCACTTCCTGTTATAGTAGCTGAAGGCTTCTTTCTGTTGTTTGCAAGATAGATCTAGGTGACTAAATTGCAAAAGTGCCAGTCATAATCTATTGCTTTTGTTTGATTGTCATATATTTATGTGATAAAGGCTTCTGAAGACACTAGAGATCAGACTCATCATGAAGTTTAGTCCTCAATATGTCAGAACCTATAATATGTGAAATTATTTTGTTACTTGGTGGGGAAAAAGAAAAAGCTCAGCATAGAAAAACAGAAAAACCAAAAAGGAATGGCTGTGTGTTGAGGAAATATTCCATTATTAATAAGGTTTAATTGTGTCAAAAAAATTAAGCTTTATCTAAGAAGTCTGTAATACCTTATTTTTAATATATTTCTTTTCATAATCAAAGTGTCTTACAAACATTGACTGTGCCACTTTGTGGTTCTAGAAAGAGCCATAAATTTTCTTGTTGGATTGAACTTCAGAGAGTAGCTTTAGTGTGATTTTTGAAACCATTTTGGGGAGAAAAAAGTAAAAGCTTTTTGTTGTTGATCAGAGCTTTTTGATGCAGACAGCACTCCAGTTTCAAGGCATCTGTACTCAAAGTTAGTACTTCTGACCTTTTTGTGCTGAGGATATCTTGGGACAGTCATGGTACTTAATACTGGTTTTATACCCTTCCTGCATTTGCAGTACAGGGCAAAGGAACAGAGAGAGCACTTACTTGCTGCAGCAAAGGCCACTGTGGTATCAGGAAGCTAAAGGCTTCTGTTTGACCAATTCTATCTTTCTTCTGAAGTCCTGTTTGGTGCAGCAAGTATTTGAGGACTGATGCTTCCATAGCTTCAGCCTCAAAGGCTGGGCAGAACTAGAAACTTCTTTTGAGAGGGCATCTTTGCATCAGGCCTGAGAGGCAAGGAAATGTCTTCTCACGTCTCTGGCCCAGGCTAGAATTGACACATGAACTGCCAGTTGAACCGAGTGGTTCTACCAGGGTTATAGTACATTCTTAGCAGAAAAAGTACCTCATTGGTAATAGAAAGTGCATTCATTACCAGTAGTAGGGAATAGTTAATAGGGCTATCTTTGTATTTGTTTCTGATAATAATTGTTCATGTTTTTTATTGATAGGTATACGCGGGGAGATCAATGTGGTGGTGAAAGTAGATCTCTTCAATGATTTAAACAGATTTAGGCAGTCATCCTGTGGAGTCAAATTTTTTTGCAGTAAGTAGAGGAAAAAAGTTTATTTGAACAGAAAACTTCCCCTTCTCCCCTTCTTTCCTTGATATCAGTTTCCCCATCTTTCACCACCCCATTACGTAAGCCCAGTGGGGATTACATTGAAGCTAGGAGCAAATGCAGAAAATTGTTTTATTTTTTTAAAAATAGATTTTAACTGTTCATATTTCAAAACAATGTAAATAACTGATTTTTTCCACCGTATCTTTCTTAAGTTGCATTTCAGCGCATGTGTATGCGCACATTGTGTTACTTTGTGTGCATATCCTGTTAAAGAGGCACAAAGTGAAAAGGTTTCATAATGGTACATGTTGTAACCGATACACTGGACAGTTATCTTATCAGTGTTCCAGAGTCTCCCAGAACAAATCTGCTTAGAGTATGTCCACATTTCAACAGAAAATCATGTGCATTACTTTCTAGAATTGTTCACATCACTTTTTACGTGTAATTTTATGTTCTTCTTGGAATTCTTGGCTCATAGACTCAAGCCTTACCTCTTTTATATTTTTTTTAACAGCTACATCTATTCCTAAGTGTTACAGAGCTGTAATAATTCATGGATTTGTGGAAGAACTTGTAGTTAATGAAGACCCAGAATACCAGTGGATAGACCGGATTCGTACGCCAAGGGCATCAAATGAGGCTAGACAAAGACTTATTTCACTCATGTCAGGTATTAAAACATGTAGGCTGTAATGGTTATTGCTGCTTTTAAAAATTTTCACAGTTTAAATAAGTGGTTTGCCTAAGACAAGATTGTATGTTATTTTTGTTACTAATTATTCAGTTCGCAGTGTCTTCTGTTTCTGAAGGTTCTGTTGTCCTAACTGATGGCCAGTATGGCTGCCTTTCCCCCTTCCCTCCTTTCCTCCCTTTCTCCTTTTCCTTTTCCATTAGGCCATGCTGCTGTCTAATTTGCAGATTGCTTTTAGCATCTCTTGACGGTGTTCTTAATCCATATGAGGAGTATTACTAGAATTTTGACTCAAACAACTAAAATAATAGACTACTCCACCCTCTTTGAACTACTTTGAAGTATATGAACAAATACGCACCATCTCAGATACAGTGTGTATTATTACTTAACCTGCTCATTCCATGTTTTCAAAGTCAAGATTGGTTCATTGTTTCTCAAGCATACTTCTGTATTGCCTTGCATCAGTTCTGCAGGACATACCTGCAGTTCCTGGAGAGACCAGTGACCAGTTGATATCTCCACAGTATTAAGTATCTCTACAGATTTTTTTTTTTTAATTACTGATGCTTATGAACAGCAGTTGTGAACCAAGATCCTCCTGTTGCAGTGCCAGTAGAACAGAACAAAACACCCTACTCTGGAGTACTTACACACTAAGACGAGAGACAACCAATTGATAGAGGTGGGCAATATTGAAGGTGTAAAGAATACAAAGAAATGATGAAAAATAGCCACTAGAATGATAGGCAGTGATTTAAGTTCTCTGATGGGCTCTTAATGTTGTCAGGCTTCTTGTAGATACAGCTGTGTTTTAAGGAAGATGGTAAAAGATGCAAGCATGTATGGCGTTATTTAGTAAGTGGGGCAACATAAAAGCAATCATGGAGATGTTACTCAGTATCTTACACTTGGAGGGTCAACAGGTTTTGAGGAAAAATGTGAAAAAACAATGTTGTTGTAACTGACATGAGTTCACTTTTAATGAGGTTTTTAATATAGTTCTGCTGGTATCTCAGTTTACAGGATTAACATTTGCGTATCTTTTACCTTGTATAAATGGTGAAAGTGGATAAAGTAGCACACGTTGAAGTATTCTGCTAGATTTTACTAATATTTTTATTCATGACAGTGGTTAAGAGGACAAAAACCAAAAGACCTCATAGCAACACTGTTTCATGTCAGGTAATATAATGCTTCACATTGCAATCTTTGCTGCTAGAGGGCGCATCTAAAGAGTCTTGAAATCTGTAACTTCTGAGAATGGTGGGCTGTTTGATAGTTCTCTGCCATATTATGTGTTGTATATATTAAAAAAAATCGGTCTAAACCTTGGCTTGGATGGAATCCATAGCAATTTTCATTCAGCTAGAAATTTTCATACTCTACTTCAATTGTAGAGATTTTTCAAGACCAGTAGATGCGTAATTTCAGCCTTGGTTAAGATTATAGCAGGAACCTGTTCTGGTAGTGTTAAGACCAAGCTTCTAGAAAGCAGTAGTGATAATTTTGTTCCACTTGATTTCTTAACATCATTGACATTGGGACTGTTAGGCTATTGTCTGTGACAGTAAGGCTTTTTCAGTTTGTTAGCAGGATTTTGGAAATCCTTCATTTTCATCAAAAGAAAAATTATATTTTGCACCTAATATTGCCAAGGCTATCTAGCTACATGGATCAATGAATTTTTTTTTTTAAACATTCTGCTAAGTCAGCATCTATGGCAGACCATTGTCTTACAGTTACAGTCTTTCAGGCTTTGTGTGCAGCTAGTGGAGGAGAAATGGCAGTCTTTTGTTTGCAGTGGGAGTGACATATTTGGTGTTGTGTTTTGTTTAGTGTTATATTTTGTAGATGAGGCTGCATATTAAACAATTTAAAGAGAGCAAAAATTATGAATTAGGTTGAAATATGCTTAAATAAGTTTGTAAAAAAAAAAAAGGGGGGGGGCTGCGTATCCACATGAATTTTGAATATATTGCATTGTTCTGATCGGTATGAAGGAGTATCTAGAAACTCGTGTGTGTTCTAGCACACAACTTGACCATCTCATTCTCTAAATAAGTAAAAGAGGGGAAAACTAATGATAAAATAAAAGACAGAAAAAATTTCTGAAATAACATGTTGCAATAAAGGTAGATTTGGAGAAAAAAAAGCCATGCAAATCATGAACATTACACTATGTTATATGAGGCAGAGATTGTGATCAGCTGCTTGGCATAATTATATAAGATTGGATCTATTACCTGTTTTACTGACTTGGAAATTCCACAAGCGGAGGCTGAAGACCACAAAAGAGAATAAGGAAAGTTCACTGCAATTATGAGCTCTTTACCTTATTTTTTTTTTTTTTTTTGTAGGCGAATTGCAAAGGAAGATTGGCTTGAAGGTGCTTGAAATGAGAGGAAATGCTGTTGTTGGTTATTTGCAGTGTTTTGATTTGGAGGGAGAGTCTGGACTAGTAGTACGAGCCATAGGAACAGCCTGCACGTTGGATAAATTAAGTAACACATCAGCATTTTTACCTGCATGTAGCTCCCCATCCAAAGAAATGAAGGAGTAAGTATGAATTGATATTTTTAGGGAAACAAGTTGCATCTCTCTTCTTTTCATACTCATTCAGTTTTATTTACATAACCAGTGTGATTTCTTTTTTTACTTCCCCAGAATTTGTTTTTATTTTGTAGTTTTATTTGTCTGCAACTCAGTTTATATTCCACAATTCTGAAGTATTTTAGGTTGGGTTATTTATGTTCTTGCTTTAGAAGCTGGAGTGGTAAACCTTAATATGACTTTCTGGAATTTCTATAGCAATGGTATTATGTATCCTTGGGTTGTGATCCACCAGTTTCCTAACTAATAATTAGTTCTGCCTTGACTCCATGTTTGTACAATAAATGTTTTTGTGAGGGCTTCTTGTGATATACCTTCTGTTCAAGATTTTCCAAGTTCAGTAAAATCAGGTTTGAGTGTTTATGTTGAGCATATAAGAAAAGATAAATTTTGAATTCAGACAATGTTTATGCTGAACCTGTAAGAAAAAATACATTTTTAATTCGGACAGTTCTGTCAGTGATTTAGAGAATGACCCTGAAGCAGTCTTGGGTTTTCTTGTGTGATTTGTTTTTTACTGTTGCAAAACAAGTAGGGCTACTGCAAAACAGGTAGGGTTACAGGGTACTTGCAGAAACATCTTTTTACAATGAGAGATACAATTTCTTGATCTTTGTTACATCCACTGCAGCACCAAACACAGATTGAATGCAATTTTTTAATGTGTATACAAATTAATAGAAAAATACTTGCAGTTGTCTTTAAATTGTTACTACTTTGTTTCTTGGATAAATTAGTTATTTTCTGTTTGGTAGAATGATTCAATTTCTGGAAGGAAAACACAGCACCAAAAAGTATACTACTTATGCTGTATTGCCAGAGGTACTATTTGAATTAGCCATTTTCATTAACTTGAACTGTTGTGTCACTACAATAGTAATTAGTCATTTTTTGTCATGTTTTGACTTCTCAAAATTACTGGTTTGTATTTCAAATCATAGTTTGTTTAACTTGTCTTAATTTTAAAAATTTGCCATCAAAAGAGCTTCTGGATATACTGCAGCATAAAATAACAGTTTTGGTTTAAAAAAAAAAAAAAATTGGACCTGGTAACTGCCAACTTAACCAGCATTCATAAATAAATCAGTAGCTTTCACTCTGGAGCAAAATGTGGAAATTCCACCCCCCAAATAATCCATGTTCAGCTTGGTGGTGGATATTGTCAGAATCATTGTCCCATCAGTCTGAAAAATGTGAGTGTTTCTCAAAGCCAGCGTAATCAACTAATACTTCTTCCTATTGGCTTTACTAACTTGATGCCCTGTTGCCAAAGAATCAATTACACATTCACAAGCTTGTGCTTAAGCTGTTCCTTTCTCTCTTTTTTTATTTCATCTGGACTCTTGCATGCTAGGAATTAAAATTCTTAGAGTCTGCTTAAAGTAAGAGATCTCCTCTATCTAAACTTCCCTGAAATAATTTATAACATAACTTTGCAACCTGTTTGTATGTATTGTTTTCTTTTCTTCCACCTTGGCTGCAAATTCTCTCAGGTCTCCGCTGGTTCATCCGCCAAGCCATGGATGCCGCTCGACTCACAACAGCCCAATTCACACTGCTACTGGCTCACGACTTACTCAGAACTTCTCTGTGTCTGTTCCCACTCTCATCTACACTGGTACGAGACTGCTCAGACTCAGGAGGTGGGGAGAGGCAGGCCACAGGCACAGTGGTCGCAAAGTGCAGGCAGGCAGGCAGTGTAGGCAGGTACCACCCATCTTTTCTCCCTCATTTCCTCATGGAGACACCTTCTGTTGTCAGTGAAGAACTACTCTGTGTGCAGCTGCTGAAATGAAGGCCATAGTTTCTTGAAAATGCATCAGAGTCTCTTCCACAAAGCCACACTCTTCATTTCTTTTTAACGTGCTTACTTCCTAAGAATTTAAGTAAGAATAAGTTGATGTATCTGAGGAACATTCGCTATTTTACAGTCATTAGAGGAAATAATGTTTTGATTAGAGTTTGTAATTGCTTTCAAGTGTAATTCAGATATGGTGTTTAGGTTTTAAAATGGTTATAGGAAGGGTATGTGCCATTTGTGGAAGAGATGGTGTTAGAGAGCAGGTAAGTCAATCTGTGCATAAGTGAACTGTTTGTCAATATAGTTGTTCCCATAAAGATTCTCCTCTTTGCTCTGTTTTTAGCTGTGGCATGCTGCTGATGCTATAGGATAAGGAAACATATTTTTTTTTTCTTAAAATGCATATGTGTGTATATACATAAGTGTACGAATATGTATAAACACAAATATAATTTGAAATCATTTTTCTTTCTGAACTAACTCAAAGCATTGTGTATTTGACCCAATTTTTAAGCCATAAACTGTTTTCAGTTTTTTCTTTTGCATATATATAATTTTTTTGTCACATCTCATACCTTTCATTTGGCTTAATTGTTTCATTGTAGATTATCAGCATCTATCTGTAGAATGCTGAATGGGTAAAACAGCATTTCTTTGCCTCTGGCCTCATCCCCAGTCTCGCACCTAAGGAATAGCTGCTGGCCCTGCCCCAATCCCATCCTGGTGTTTGGATCATGCTGCTGTCAGCCAGGTCCTTTGGCACAGGATTACTGAATATGTTTCCACCTTCTTCTGGCAGGATTCCCTTCAATGAAGATCCCAATCCCAATACTCATTCATCAGGACCCTCCACCCCTCTGAAAAACCAAACCTATTCCTTTTCACCTTCCAAGTCCTACAGTCGACAGTCCTCTTCTTCTGACACAGATTTGAGTTTGACACCCAAAACTGGTAAGGCGCTTCCACCCACTTTTTGTTTAATTTGTGTTTCTCTTTTTATATTTTAATTCAACCCCTTTTTGCTTTTTGGCATTTAAGTTATCAAAATTATGTGGAAATCGGAGAATTCAGATTAGCATACATCAAGCTTGAAAGGATTTCTCTAGGGCAAGAATTTAAATCTTGCCTATATTTCCACTATTCTGCATAACATTAACATGACATTTGTAACACTACTGTATTCAAATTGAAATAAAACATCTCAGACCATTAAGGGAGTCCTAAGTAATTGCCTTTTTCTTATTTCCTCCATTCCATAGTACAAATCATGGGAGTACATTTCTCACCACAATATGTTAAGGACTGTTACTAAAACGATGTAGTCTTCAAGCCTAACGTGTTGTGCTATAAGTATATTGTATACATTTATCTGTGAGTTTTAACTCCTTTTTGCAAATGTGATACTAGAAAAGTAGCAGCTTCTGTCTTTTTATTCTCCTTGGTACATGGAAATGGCTTTACGTACACAGTATAATTTTTGAAAGTAACTTAAATTATACTCCAGCCATCTTCAAAAAGCATTTTTTTTTCTCTTTCTGATCTTTCTCGTCTCTCTTTCTCATTGGTCTATCATCATTTCTTCAACTTGTTTCCTTCCCTCCTTATTTTTCAGTCTGTGGTTAGAATCATGTCACTAATAATGTCAGCACAACTCAAAAGAATTACTGTCTGTTTATTCTCCATTATGTGATCAATGCCCTGAGTTTTGCTACCTTAGGGCAAAATATTTTGCAGAATTGTTTAAAAAAGTTTGGTTGCTTTTTAGATGATGTTTTAAATTGTGGTGTTTGAAGCTCAGGACATTCTTGTCTCCATCTAGTCTAGACAGTTTTTAATCATAATAAAGTAGTTGATTTGGCTTATTTGATAGCACCCCTTTCAATAATTCTTCCAAGCAAATAAGTTAAATGTTGCATTCAAATGCAGTTATATTAAATATTTTACCCAGTTTATTCCCTAGATATCTGTTAAAAGATGTTCTCACTTAGGAAGCTGCCTAGGATAGACAAGATAATACTGTTTTTGAAAAAACAAACAAAAGCACACCTTTTTTTAAATTTTTTTTTTTTTTGTCCTTTATGTAAAGTATGACTGTTTTGTTTGCTTGTTTATAGCCTATGGTAGTCACTTGTTCAAAGGACCTACAAATGTAACTGGATGCTTATTATGTAGGAGAACCACAAATTCTTGCGTTTGCTTTACTCAATATTTGAAAACCTGTTTCTTTTGATCTTAGAAATTTTTAACTCTGCTACTGAAACTTAGGAGGATTTGCTGGTTGCATTTAAAAATTCTGGATCTTGGTGTTACATACCAGATTTTGAATCTTAATAGCTTAAAAGGACAGTATCTCTTGAGTCATTTGTCTTACCTTTTTACCAAAAATTTGATCATATTCAAAAGATACTTCCATAACATACTAAATTCAGTAGTTTGTTTTTAACAATTCACTGTATATATTTAGACCTCTGTTTTCATTTCCTAAGACTGTTACGAAGTTGGAATATTTTAGTGCGAAGTTGGTGATGGTAGTGTTTTAAAAAAATATGCAAGCATCTCATGTGACACATTGAACATTATCCAATTTGAGATGCCCATTACTCAGATTGGCTGATGTGAAAAATGAAGTATTTTCTGATGTTTCTGTAGTACATTATATTCATCTTTATTTCTCAGGTAGCTATTGTGTTCACGTTTGAGATGGAGACTAAGCTGAGAAAAGAGCGCAGATACCACAGTTTCACAGTATGAATAACTAGATAGAGGAGATTGAAACTTGGATCTGTTTAAACATGTGGTTTTCAGTAGCTCCCAATCAGGAGAATATTACCTTAATGTCTTTTATAAAATACAATTGTGATTGTACTATCTGTTCTGGTCTATATCTGGGGAATATAGAAGAAATATTATGTAAATATGAGGGGAAATTATTCTGTGCTGAGAAAGCTTGTTTTGGTTTGAAGTTAGACTGCTGTGAATAGTGATATATTTTATGCAGCTGCAAAGTAGCAGAATATCAGGCTGACAAAAAGCATGACATGTTAATTAGGTAGTACATTTTGATGTGACATAGTGTATGCCTGGAGGAAATTGAGAAGGTGAGAACTCCTTTTCCTTGTGAGAACTTAGAATTCTGCAAGATTTATGACTAAAAATCATAAAACAAAACCATGACTTCTCTGGAAGATAACTTTACCTAAATAATGAAAGTAGTCAGGTTAAGTGTGTGAGAAGACTGTATTATTTAGTCTTTACTCCATAGTATTTGTTACCAAATTTTGTATAAAATTAAAAAATAAATGTTAGATTACCATGGCTTTTAAAAAAATTAATTTCAAAATACAGTTAATCAGGTCATGATTTTTGACAATATGCTGCTTATTCACATTGTGGACCTGTATTGTCATTCCATTTCTTTGTATGTTGAGAAATAATTTAGCAATAAGTGCTTGTTCGTTTGGAGAAAAAAAAAAAGCTTCATTTTTATTTCTTCCATCTGTTTCTTTAGTCATCTTCTGAATCTACATCTTTTTGTCTCTATTACTTTCCTCCACAGCACCTTCCCCCCAGGGACCTAGGATTTTCCTGTTTCCCAGCTCCCCTACACTCTCTTGTGATTCCCCACATCTTAAAAAGTCCTGTCTCCTCCTCTCGGGGTCTAGCGTTAACCCTCTACACCCTAGCCATGTCAGCCCAGTTGTTCTGAGGAAAAGTGTTTCTTTCACTGAAGAGCTGCTTCTGGCTGCTTCTGGTAGGATCAATCTATTATGGCCTTTTAAGCAAACTTTTAAGAAAATGTTGTTGTTATTTGATACAGGAGCATTTAACACACAGCATTCTATAACCCTGTGTTTTTATTCAGTTAGCCTCTGAGAACTGCTGGCTACATGACTATTCATGCCATCTCTCACCTCTGCCCCAGAAGCTTGAAACAGCTTCAGAACTTATTAGAGGATTTGAAACATATGTAGTTTATGCTACAGAGCTTTCTTCTTTTCCCTTGCAAAACTTCCTTTGGTAATTGGACTAAAATAATTTACTTTTTTTTTTAATCCCCCTTATTTTTTTCACTTTGTTCCTATATTTTGCATGGAACAAGCACTTGCTTATTAATTAATTCGTAATTTAGTGAAATAATGGCGATCAGATGGCTAGCAACTCTGCTCTTTAAATTACTTTTAAATAAAGCCTGTACAAACTTTTTATTTGCACTGCCTCCTTTTCCATTTCACTGACATGCATTATTTTCATAGATTTAAATTAAATAGTTGATATACTGCTTTTTTCTGTAGAACCTATTTTGATTAGTTTGTATTTTTTGAGTTTGTTTCATGTCCAGTATTTATGCTGTGTTTGTCTGTATTTAATATTGTATAGTCCCTGACAATGATGCCAAATAGTAAAAGCAATTTAATCTTGTTTAATGGGACTATACAGATACTAATATTTTTGTTTCCTTATCCAAGAACAGCTAAAAATATTTGTTAAAAATTAATAGTATTTTTAGATGTAATTATATGGTAATGATAGCCTAGTAATTATTGGAAATGTTAGGAATTAATTAACATACATTATTAAGTCCGGTATTATTTCTAGATCTCCCAGTCCTTGGTTAAAACCAATAACTGCACTTTGATGTATATGTACAATCTCATTCATGTTTATTAGATGCTTAATCAGAAGAAAAAGGAAACTAGCAAGGAATTGTTATGTTAATTCTGTAAAAGAATCTTGGCTTCATTCATAACTGTTTGCACTGTGGTGTTTGTATTTCATCTTGCTCCTTGCACTTTTTTTTGTTCTTTATCTGTGCTTTCCTATACAACTTAGGTGTTTATTTTTGCTTTGTCAAGTTAGCACTGATGGGTTTTAGATACAAGAAATACCAATGATAGTATGTTTTTAGGCATGAAATATTACCAAGAAAATGTGATTCACCAGCATTGTGTTTACTTTAGGAAAAGCACAATCTTGGTATGCGTTTATTTTTTACTTTTATGATTTCTAACCATAGAGCCAATAACTTACCTTCATACATATAACCTGCATCTTGATGCATTCAGTTAAGAGTACAGTTCCTTGATAACAGACAATTCGATAGCAAAGATATTTGTGTGTCTGATAAACTTTCCATCTCTTCAGAAAAGCTTCTGTATTGGGGAGTAGGCGTGGGAGTAAAACATATGAACAAAGTAAAGAGAGAATTACCCATATTATGCAAAATTGGAGTTTATTTCTTCCTTTCATTTACAGCTAATTTGCAGGTTATATGTGTGCAAACATAGTAATCAAATAAGTGTGTCGGTTTTAAATGCTGAGCAGTAGTCTTAGCTTATCTGAATGAATCGAATGAGTGAATATTTCATTGCATAGATATTAAAGAAAACAAAAATAATTGGTAATTTTTTTCAGAGTTATACTTCATATCAGGATGTGCATTGCCTTTGCAATTTTCTTCTTAGTCCCAATCATGCATTATATAGCTATTGCTCTAATTATGTGTACAATCTCCTCCCAGTGATTAGGAAAGGTGATTTAGTTACTCTAAAACTCTCAGAAAGCCAAATTTATTTTTTTAACTGGTAATAAGAGTAGAGAGAGATACTTGACTATAGAGTAATCTGACAGGGAGGCATCATTCAACCATTTGGAATTAATAATGACTTTTCAGCCCTTTTTGATAAGGGGTAAAAATCTGATTATGTAGAACCTTTTCTATGAAAAGCAGAGAAGGTAGATCTATGTTGAGATAATAGAAAAAACTCCAATAGTACCAAAGAAAAAAAATGAAATTTTATGTCATAGGAAAGAATTGCAAGCAAGCACAGGTCTTAAAGTCTTTGTATTTTAAAGTTTATTTTTTAAATTCAGACTTACAGCAGAGAAAGATCTTAAATCAGGAGGTTTTTGTCCAAATATTAAAAAATACCACTGCTGTTCATGTGAAAACCGAACCCAAAAAACAAGCCTCCCAAACCCAAATTGAACTGTGATGCTCAGCATTTTTTTCCTGAAAATTAGAATTATGGGGATAATTTGACTGTTTTCAATTACTATCTTATATATTTTTAAATCAAAGTTTGATTACAAATTATAATATGTGTTTCTTCAAATGTCATTTGTACTGATACTCTTCAGGAATGGGCAGTGGGAGTGCTGGAAAAGAAGGGGGGCCATTTAAAACTCTTTTAAGACAACAGACTCAGTCAGCTCTGGAACAAAGGGTAAGGCATTTTATACTTTGGTTTCTGATCCGCTAAAGTGAAAATTTAGCTTGTAGTAAGTTAAATGTTTCCTGTTACTTTCTGTTTAAAAATGTGTGTAACTTTTAGGTCTGAAAACTTGTTGGAAATGTTGAACATTTAATAGCTCTTAAAACACAAACTATTTAAATTTCAATTTATTATTAAACCATTAAGAAAAGAGTGGAGGAAATAACTGTAACGTGCACAGCACTTAAGTGAATACAGTTGATGTTACAAGAAATAGTTTTATAGCAAAAATGACTGCTGTTTAGTCTCTGTAAGTTACTGCTGCGTGTTAAGTTTAATATTTTGCTGTAATGTAGTTAGTTGAGTTCTTACAGAGTAGCCAAATTCAGGAACATTGGAATAGCTTTAAACAAGGTCTAAATTGCAAAAACTTTCAGTTTTGAAAAATGGATTTGGTGCATAATTCAGCCTTCATTCTACTACATGAAAGTGTGCATGTATCCTTTAAAAAAAAGGTAAATTAAACAGACCTAAATCACTTCACAAGCAATAAAAGGGCTTTATAGATTTACAGGTTTTTAAAGAACCTCTGTAAGACTGAAAAAAGCCATCTGGTATTATGGTGAATAGACTGTATAATAAAAATAGTGGTTTTAGTTCTTTGTTTAAATTTTCAAATGAGTCCTTGCAAACTCTTTTTTTATAGGTTATATACTGCTTTTGTCAAATTGTTATTAGTGAGGTGTCTTGAAGGAAGAACCATGAGTGTTTTCCTATTCAGAAATAAATTCTAGTTTAGTTACGATTTCTGACTACCTGAACTGTTTACGTAGAATCATATATGTTTGTTGAAAACAAAATCATCTGCATTTGTGAAATGTAAGTGAATAGCTACTATTTTGAGTAAGTGGATGATTCTCTTTTCATTTTTTGTGTTATCCGTTGCTAAGGGAGGATCGCCTCATAGGTTCTGTAGAAGGCGGGTATGTTCCAAAACGTCGTGTGACTCTTTTTGTAGCCCTTTTTTCTTGTATTTAGGATTTCTAAACATTACTTTAAATATTTTGTTTTTCTTTTTTTTTTTTTTTTTGTGAAGTTTTACAATTTTCTTTGTAATATTGTTTATGCAGGGTTTTTTTTTGTATTCTGGGGGGTTTTTTAAAGAGCATTTGTCAGGTTGGCATACTTTTGCTTAGTTAGTGTTTTGCATGTTGATACATTTCAGTTAAAATTTTGATTTGTTTTTAAGTACAAATCCATGGCTTTTTGCTTTGAATGTTTTAGTTACAAAAAAAAATGCTTTAAAAAGAGTCTGTTCTCTGTTTACCTTTGTTTCTGCTAATATTTCAGACATTTCGTGGCTGATATGTTATTTCCTTAGGAGGCTTTTGAAAAACAATTAAAAATGTAAATTAAGAACAGTTAATATGTTTTTAGAGCTTGAGTTACTTGCACAGTGTTTTGATAAGACCTGCATATTGCCTAGAGGAAAAAAGATACTGTAAAATGGGATGGAAACATGCTGAATCTGTTGTTGATTATGATGATGATGTAGCAAAGCATGTGGACTGTTAATTGATACAAAAATATGTTCATGCTATCATGTTGGATGTGTTCTTGCTACAGTTACCTTTTTTCAGTTACCTAACTAGAATGGATAACCCTTATAGGTTATTTTGTCTGTTTTAACAGTGCAAACATAGCGCATTCTAGTTACCTGTCTGAATTAGTTAGGGTAGCACTTACTTGGGAAGAGAGAGAATTAATTCAATATGTATAATATATTTCCACTTATATTAGATACGTAGTAACTTCTTTTGAGTCTTAGTTCAGTTTGAGTATATGGTAATGCTAAGGCATATTAAAACCAATTAGTTTAACTGGATGTCTCTTAAGGTTTTGTTTTGCTTTTTTTTTTAATCAAATGTGTTTTTAATGTGTCACTTAACCCTAATTGCAAACCAGAACATATTTTGTTGGAAGGCTAGTATTATTTCACACCTTCTGGGAAAATATACCAGCCTTGCGAAACTCACATACGTGTTATGTTTGACATTAATGTATTTTTAGAAATTCACAGGATGCCTGTTGACAGCAGGTGTAACTATAGCGTAGCTATCTTTGTGTATATTTTTATCTATATGTGTAAATGGTGTATTTCCATCAGTGAGAGAATTTGAGCTTACTTATAAAAATTAGCCTGTGTTTTTGTGGAAATGGCCACATGCTACTCTTGATGGTATTTTGTCTCCCCATTGACCTCAACTTGGACAAAGGCTGTTTTATTCCTCCATGTTTGCATTCTGCAAGTGCTTGAGAGATCTTCACTGCTGCCTTTTTCAAATCAACATCTCTTGATCCTCATCTCTGAAGAGCACTGCTAGATAACTGTTGTGTTAGAGTGCAGTTCTCTGTGTGATTATTTTGGCTGAAATGTTGCATTAAGCAACTTTTCTTTCCAGCAACCTCATGTTACTATCTAGCCCATGCCCTCAGTTCGGTTGGGGAAAATTTTAAGGTTGTTTGACCACCTTGTGAGATGGCACAGTAAATGTGCTTAAAATAAAGATAATTCAACCAGGAAATTAAGTGTTTTAGTATGGACCAGTTCCCTACTTTGGTTCAGACCAAAAAGCTCTATGAACACACCAGAGTGTCACAAGCCTTGTCTGAGGGAGTAGTACAACGATGGGAATGAGTGAGCAGCTGGAAGGGAATCTGAGAACTGCTTCAGCTGACACTAACACCAAATGATGTGTGTGTAGCCATGTTCCATGTGCTTTTTTTCATTATTTTGTGTGTCTCTGTATGAAATATAATTAAAAAAGAATACTAGCAATACATGTATGCTTCTACACAAACATTTTTAAACATTGTATTAAGCAAATATTATGAGGATTTTATTATAATCTTACCAAGCTTTCCCCAAATGCCAACTATAAAATCTCTATGTAGTTGCAAGAATTAAACCAGTGACAGTTCTTTCAGTGTCTATGCAGTCAAGGACTGTGAAATGACATAGTGAACTAGTATTGGTAAAATGATTGAACATCTTCAGCTGTAGCTTGGAAACTGTATCTTCTCACGCACGGGAATACTTGGTGCTTGCTTCACCTTGATGTAAAAATAGGCCTTTGCAAACTGCAGTAATAGAGGAGATTTGTAATATGTAAAGACTGCATCTGATTCTTATGGAATCACTGTTTTCCATGCAATAAATATAACTGTAATTTTGAACTATTACAGATTACCGTATGTAATTCAGACTGGCACTTGCATTTGAATAATATAATAACAAAAACCCCTAAACCTCTAAATGAGCTTAAAAAAGAAAAAAAACCCAGCCCATCATACAAAGTGATGAAATTCCATCTGCATCAGAATGAATGAGACATTATTAATGGAATATGAGCATGTCAGAATGGTTCAGTGAGTCAGTTACCGAGATTTGTCTGTGACTGAAATTAACTGATAGGTTATAGGTCTAATTTTAGCATGTGTCATAATACAGACTTGCAAGTATCAATATACCTGAGTGTACTGATTGAGGCAAAACCATGTTACTACTTTAAAGTTTTATTCCTGCTTTATAGTTCAGGGAATCAGGCAAACTGGAGGTCTAAATGTGTTAAAATTACTTGCAATACACAACCTTATGAAAATGAACTAAAAATTAAGGTAATTTTTGAATCTCCATATAAAAGAATTGGATTTGCTTATGCTTTAGAGCGTGGAGTATCATTCACTTTGTTCACTACATATTGCTATAGCACAATGTAAGTGTGGGTAGATGTATGTACGTATAAAATACAAATGTAGTATAGGCTTAGTGGAATTTCATATAGGTGGCATATGCAGTAAACTTTTAAATTGATTTCCATTGTTCTGGGAAAGGTAATTATTTTTAATGTCGTTAATGTGGGATAACTATTCAGGGGACAGAGCAAACATGTATGTTGATATATTTAAATATAAGTTATGCAGATCGAGTGTCATGGAATTATACAGGGACAAATATTACCACTATATTTGTGAATCACTGAACAGTTGATACTACAGAGCCACAGTGAAAGAAGGTTCTAACAAAGTGTTGATGTACTGGGTTTTTTCCATTTTTGGGCATGAAGGATGTACAGAAAAGGAGTTTGGACTGTGTTGTGGTCAGAGAGAGCTTCCTGACTATTCTGATATCCTGCAAAGCAGTTTGTGATCTGTTAGAACTTTCTGGGGGAATGTGAGGGATCCATCGGTGCTCCTGAAGACAGATTAGTCAAGCAGGTTTACAGAGTCCTATGGTGAAGTCTTCCTCCTTTTAAATTGTGTCATAGGCACAACTGCAGGTGATGATGTTTTGGGGGTTGTGTTGTTTTTTAGTTTTTTGTTTTTTCTTTCTGGTTGTTAATTCTGTGGTTGCTGATTTCAAAGTTTGCCTTGTAATTTTGAAAGTCTAAGCCAAATGAAAATCCAGCAAATTTGAAGTTTGTAGGACCTTTTAAAAGTTTTAGAGTTCTAATAACAAGGATGGTAATAATTCTGAAATGTTACTTTTAAATCTACATTGGGCTTTAGTTTAAGAAGACTTTTCGTGACATGTATTGCTGGAAGAGCCATGATCCTCATTTAATCTCCAGCATGTACACTGTTTAGGTAGAAGCTCAGTTGAACTGTATTGTTGCAAGTGCTTCAAGTATGTGAGAAAGGAATCTGTACTGTACTTTCTCTCATATAAAATTATGGTGTTGTATATTTTCCATTTAACCAATCATCATGACTATACAAACCATGATTGCATGACTTCTATTTTTCTTTCTTTGCCTTTATGCATTTAGAATTGCCAAACATAAATCTCTTGCCTTTCCCCCATAAGTGTGCTATCATGTGTATATTAGACGTTCCATAGAATGTCTCTATAAAAAATAACATCTTCTAGTTTTGGGCTCACTGCCTTTGAATATGACTGTTTTACTTCATCAAGTGTGTCATGAAAAATTACTGTTACCACTTTGCCTCTTGTATAAACGACATTTTTGAGTAGGTGCTAAAAGATATTAATTCTTAATTTTACTTATGAATTGGTAAAAACAAACTTATGGAAACGAACTGGAAGTGAATTTCCTTAGTTTAAGAATTTAGTATTTCAAAGACTTAAGCCTTATTCTAGCAGATGGGTATTTACTAGCAGAGCAGTCCATTAATATTTTTAGGTATGTTTTCCTGTAATAAAACATTTATCAGTCTTTCAAGACTACAGTTTGTTTACCCTGTGCTTCAGGATCAAATTGCAGTCAGTTGTAACAGTAAGAACTAAAATATGGAGAAAAATGTTCTTTTAATTTGTATCAGCTAATGAGAGTACAATTATGTTGTTTAGCTGCCATCCTAAAAGTGGACTCAGTAGACGCTTTGTTAACCCAAATGTGGGGGATTTTTTATTAATATTGTGCTGAGATACAGCTCTATGGGGGAAAAGTATTCTTACATTGTATAATACCTCTGCTTTGTTATACTATGAGTATATGAAGACATATGGTTACATAGTGCTTAGTGAGCCTGAAGGACATGTTTGGCCTAATGTAACTGCTTTGCTTGAATTTCTTGGAAATTATCAATTCACTGCATGTTTATTGGCAATTAGCAGTGGTTGGTAAGCAGTCATCTGATGTTTGTTTTTAATCATAACAGGAATTTCCATTTTTTACCTTGACGACCTTTCCACCAGGCTTCCTTGTCCATGTTGGTGGTGTTGTCAGTGCACGGTCTGTGAAGCTCCTGGATCGCATTCACAATCCTGGTATGTTAACACAATGACAACTTCTTTGCTTAAGTCCAGTCATAGTGATCCCATACTTCTGATCTTTATAACTTTATAAAATATCAGTATTTGGATAGGTGCAAATCTATTCTAACAATGTATATTAAAAGCAGCATTTTTCAGACAATCATTTAAGCTTGAAAAATAATAGTCATTCAGAGGGCGTGTTTTTACTCATAAACTTTTCAGAAAGTTTCAGAAATAATAAAGTACTTTGAATCCAGTAACTTTGCACTAAAAACTGTCTTTGAATTACTGAGGGTTTAATTATTTTTTACAACTTTTTAATATTAAAATTTGATGTAAGTTTCCATTCAAACAAAAATAAGGTGAAGTACTTGATTTTAACTACGAATATTTTCTAATTTTCAGCTCCTTGAAATCCTTAAGGACTAATGACTACATTTCAGCTCTGTACATGTTTTTAACCTCTTTTGATAAAACCTTTACAGCTTTGTTTCTGTTCTTAAAAACAGATACTGAACAGTCCTTTAAGATTTTTATTTAATATTTACCTAGGAACCCCAGTACTGGAACATGCATATTTTGCAAGTCCTAGTTGTGACATCAGAATTAAGTGACTTTTGACTCTGAAGACCTTGTTGTTATAGTCACTGAGACAAGCTGAGGAATACTGTGTAAAAAGTTGGAATTAACAGTGCACTTAAAAACACAGACAGAAGAGCATAAAAAATAGCACCCATAGTGGTTTTGCATGCACTAGTCAGGAGTAATAAAACAATGACTCTGTCAAATAAAAGTTTGTGCAAATGCATCTTTAAAAGAAATTTTTAAAAAAGTATTTTTTCCTTTTGTAATTTTGCAAACAGGTAGATTGTTGCTGATCTAAAGAATCAGTTAACTGACAACTTGAACTAAAATTTGACACTTAATTTGAATTAAAAAAAAACTAAGGGATTTTTTTTGAAACATACGAGTACATAATATTGTTGGTTTTTTTCCTATTTTTAAGACTTATTTACACAGTGGAGAGAAGATTAAGAGAAATGTCAAAGTATAATTTATATGTGGGTCCTCATTTTCTTTGCCACACAGAGTTGTCTTAGGATTCTGTATTTTCAACAGATTTCTGATACAGGTCACTTATGTGCAAAACTTCCTGTGTGATGGATTTATTTAAGATAAAATGGAAAAAGGCCTCCACAATTATGCTCGGAGGTTTTAAAAACTCATTTATTGCATTATGCACACCTTTATTTTTATTAACTGACTGAAAGCAGGATAAGAAATAAGAGAAGATAGAGATACATATTTGCACAACTAAGTGGCTCTTTGCAGTGTTTTTGTGGGATTTGTAGATTGCTCCTGACAAGTGAATGTAAGATGCATGATACTTTGAACTCAGTATATTGCAAAACAATGGAAACAAATGGGGAGTGAAGGCACATGGGTATGGGAGGGAAGGTGAAGAAGTAGAAAAAAAAATTCTGATATACTGATGATCATACTAAGCGTGTGAGTCAAATAAGTATGTAAAATATTAAAGGAAGCGAATAAATGGCAAATTAATATAACGGGAAAATGTATAAGAAGAAAGAGTATTTGAAGGGGTGAATTGAGAATTTAGCAATAAGACAATAATTGCTTTATATTGTACACTTTGATCACGCCTAGTGCTAGATTGCTATAGCATGCTCCTTTTTTCCCTTTCTATTTCAGCCTCGTATTAACTCTGCTGTCTGTGTCTTTCCAGTTCCTGTGGAGTGGTGTTGTCAATTGTGTTCTTGTTGGTAGTTTTTTTTCACTGTTCTGCTCCTATAACTGATCTACTAATTTGCTGTTTTGAACTCAGCCTTTGTCGGAATTATGGGTAACACAAGATCATACAAACTGCTAGACTGGAATAGTTTCAATTCAGGTATTTTACTAGTCATTCAGTACTACATATGCTGACAGAAATTATGGCAGCTCAGTGAACTTCTTAGAAATGCTGTAGGATATTTAGGTTAATGCTTCAAATTTAAATCTGTTTAACCATCAAATGCCTAAATGTCTTGTTTTAACGTTGTTAAAGGCTTTCTTTAAAATTGCAAAACATAGTTATAGTATAAAATAGTATTGCTAAGAATAATATCAATCTGGAAAGCTTAATGTTCAGGTTATTATTTTGTGGTAGCTTTCAGCTCATTGTCCATGAAGT